GGATATTTACCCAAACAAACCGTACTCACTCCATTGTGGGTCTCAACACGAGCAAACTGACGCGCTGTTACACTATGATGACCAGTAACTTCTTGCTTTCAATATCTGCACATCGTCTACGAGCAGTTCTTATTAGACATATTAAGAATTCAAACGGTTCAATAACTCTTCGTTCGTTTCTTCATGATTGAAAAATGGAAAAATCTTCGCTAGAGTTGTGCTATAAAGTAATTTCTGGAACAACACAAAAAATATGGAATGAGCTGCTTAAGCATTAGTTAGTTATTGAATAATGCATACACACTGTTCCTAACCAAGCTAAACACTTCAAAGATCAGCTATCCCAGGAAGTGTTTTCTTTTCTTGTTTGCAAATTTATGTGGAAGGCCAGGTTGCTATCAGTTAACAGTAGCCGATCACATATCCGAATTGAAGCGTTGAAACTAGAGCGGCAAGCACAAAGGGAAGCAAAAAGGGTTCAGCGTCACTGCGTGCGAAGATTTCTGTTTATATACCTTTTTGTACCTCACATCGTACTGATCAGCTGATCCGACGACATTCGCATCAATTGCGTTTTCTGTTGCAGCTCCGTTTAGTTGCGTTGCCGAGCCTCCACCGCGTGAAAGGTTAGCACCAGATGACTGCTCTAGTACAGTGTTTGTCGAGTTCTCGTCGATGAGTCGAATCTCGATCCTTTCGATAGGAGTATCCAGTCGTTCTACTAAAAAATCAAAGTGTAGAGGCAGGACGAAGTGCATTCTTAAGAAGGAATAAATCAAAAACTATTCGATATTCTGCCACAAACAAATGTAAATGGCTGCGTGGGATACTGTATGTAAAAATGGTTGATTGCGGAAGTTATGTCGTACAGCAGACGCAGTTACTGATTCATTATTGATTCTAAGCTCATCCAAGATTCTCATAATCGTTCAGAGTTGATCTCAATAAACTCTGCTAGTGTATTGTAACCATTATATACGTAACGTACTTTAACGTTTGCATTTGCCCTTCGCAAATCAATCTTTATGCATGAGCAAGACCTTTTCTTCGCAGTTCTGCAGATCTCTAGAGTATAGGGTCCCTTGTTGTGTTAATAAATCTCCAAGGATATTACTCAAAACAATTATCAAATTATTCAATTACTGAACAGTGCTAAAGGATATCTTCAAGAACTGCGCACTCTTCGTGATCGTCATTGAAATAAGAGCATATTTAGTACAGGTGAAAAGCGCGATGAGCTCCTTGCAGAAAAATACTCTATATTACCGCTCATAAGTTTGCAAAAAAGTGAATCCACATGAAAATCCGTCGCAAGCGTCGCATCGTCAAAATTTAAAAATATATTTCTGAAGGAGAAGCGATGTAAGACTCAGCTTGTCGGGACAAATCTTAATGTACGCCACACTATAGTAACTCTAAGGTGTACGATAGATGGTAGGATATCAACATCGCGGATCCATTTGTAACTTTGCGTGAAGGTATCATATAGCCCCTCTGCGCAAAGTTTCAGACGGCTTCGCGATGTTGACTCTGCTATGTCTAGCGTACACCTAAAATGCTACTGTGATGTGGCATAAGATTCGTCTTGACGAGCTAAGTCTAACACTGCTGTCGCTTTTGAAAGATATCTAATTTCAAATAAGTTATGACAAGGCGACGCTTGCGACAGATTTTATGTGAAATCACGTTTTTTTTTTTTGCAGAACTTATGAGCGGTCGTATGATTGGGCGATATTTCAGACGGACAACTTCGGTTTTACTCCACATCAAAAGAATATGAAAATAGAAAGGTTTAATAAGGGTTATACATTTCTAAAAAAAGAAATTCCTATTCTACTAGAGGATATGCTTAGTTTTCGTAAATTATTATTAATTCTATTTAGAAGTCCTTAGAATAGTGTTTTCGTGCATGGGAATAAGCTCTTCCATTACTTTCTTTTTCGCTTAGAATTTCCCCATCTAACCTTTTTTATCAAATAATTCGTAAGGCTATCTGAATGGCTTAAGCAACTATCATATTATTCCTCAGGATAGAACTTTAGTTTGATATTAGGTTATGTAGACCAGAAGATGTGCAAACTGAAGATTTGCTCAAAAGTTTTTCATCAAAATCAAAACCATTTTGCGATAATACTCTACTTTTACAGTAGGTACGCGATAGGGGAGCCAAAAGCGCCGATTTTCTCCAAAGGAAATCTGGAATTTTGTTGTGGGCACAGAACAAAATGACCCTCTAAGCGAATATGATATTCGTACTTCGGCAGATATCCCATTAGACCAAATTTTTGGTAAAGTGTGATTGACCATATCTCCATTTACTGCAATCGTACACTAAGGTATTAATCTGTCGGCTGTTCGTAATCAACGTGCCCAATAATTTTAACAGGTGCTCTCAACAAAAGAAACGAAATAAATTTCAACAAATTTGGAAGAACTCGTGTGTAAATCTGAAATTCCGTTTCAAGGCCTTCCACATTAACTAAATCATACTATTTAAAGGCAAGCGTACGCTTTGTGAAGTGCACATTTTTCTCACAAAGGAACCCATTGTTGAAACTTGTGATTTTTTAGAGACTCGAACTTGAAAAAAAAAACGCGACGGACTCACCCGACAATTCAGTAGAAGTCTATAGAAAAAGAAAAATTCAAGACGTCTATTGTTATTGTTCGTTGCGAGTTTTTTCTTTGTATTTTGACAAGACCTTATGATTTAGCTACGCAAAAGCGCAAGAGAAAAAGCTCACTTCCATTTTATTATTTCCTGCGAATTCGTGCAAAGCTTTATCTTAACTAAATAAAACGCAGAAACTTTTGAAAATTATGGGGGCAAACTAACTATGATATATTCGTTCTTTGGAAAACCAATAAAGGACTCCTAATTCTGAGAAAGACTTAAAAGTGAAGATGCAAGAAGGCAAGAAAAGTGCTGTCGAATAATCTCAAACTTATAACACCGCATTCAGTAAATAGAACGAATTCGGTTTCCTTAACCGCAAAGACT